CAATTGAAAGTTAAAGGATCTGATGTTGCAAAAACGGCCATTCGCACTAGATATAGTCATTATGAATTTTTAGTGATGCCTTTTGGTTTGACGAACGCTCCTGCAGCTTTTATGGATTTGATGAATCGGGTGTTCCGACCATATTTGGATCAATTTGTGGTGGTCTTCATTGACGATATTCTGATCTATTCTCGTACGGAGGCAGAGCATGACGAGCATTTGAAGATCGTTCTGCGGACTTTGAGAGAGCATCGTCTATATGCCAAACTAAGCAAGTGTGAGTTTTGGCTTCAAGAAGTGTCATTTCTGGGGCATATTATTTCTGCGCGAGGTGTTCAGGTTGATCCCAGCAAGATAGAGGCTATTATGAATTGGAAACGACCTAAGAACGTATCTGAAATCCGCAGTTTCTTGGGCTTGGCTGGTTATTATCGACGTTTTATTGAGGGCTTTTCGATCATTGCTTCTCCTTTGACAAAGTTGTTAAGGAAGAATGTGTCGTTTGAATGGGGCGAGGCACAACAGGAGAGCTTTGAGAAATTAAAGGCGGTTTTGACTCAAGCACCGGTGTTGATTCAACCACAGTCCGGGAAGGATTTTACAGTGTATAGTGATGCTTCACATTCAGGACTTGGTTGTGTTTTAATGCAGGAAAGTAAGGTGGTGGCTTATGCATCCCGTCAGCTGCGACCGCATGAGTGTAATTATCCTACTCACGATTTAGAGTTGGCAGCAGTAATTTTTGCCTTGAAGATATGGAGACACTATCTTTATGGAGAGAAGTGTTACATTTTCACAGATCATAAGAGCTTAAAGTATCTTCTGACCCAGAAGGAACTTAATTTGAGACAGTATCGCTGGTTAGAGCTTCTAAAGGATTATGATTGCGTGATTGATTACCACCCTGGTAAAGCTAACATTGTAGCAGATGCTTTGAGTCGAAAGACGGTATCGGAGTTGAGGTCTTTAATGGCCAAGATGAATTTATATGACGATGGCACTTTGTTAGCAGAATTGCAAGTTAAGCCGACCTTGGTTGATGAGATCAAGCTAAGCAGCCCCTTGATAGCTCCTTGCTTTCCATCTTTGAGCAAGTAGAGCAGGGGACAAACACAGATTACGCAATTGATCAGGATGAAGTTTTATGCTTTAAAGGTAGATATTGTGTGCCTGATGACGCTGAATTGAGGCAGACTATCCTTACTGAGGCTCACAGTAGTCCATATGCTATGCACCCCGGAGGAGATAAGATGTACCGGAATTTGAGAGAGAGGTATTATTGGACTGGTATGAAGAAAGACATATCTGACTTTGTGGCTAGGTGTTTGACTTGTCAGCAAGTTAAGGCAGAACATCAACATTCATCAGGTTTGTTACAGCCTATCAAGATTTCTGAATGGAAATGGGAGCGTATTACTATGGATTTTGTTACTGGCTTGCCTATGACTCCTTTGAAAAAAAATTCAGTTTGGGTGATTGTTGACAGACTTACAAAGTCAGCTCACTTCATTCCTGTGCGAGTAAATTATACTTTGGATAAGCTGGCAAGATTGTATATTTCAGAGATTGTCAGATTGCATGGTATTCCATTGTCTATTATTTCTGATCGAGATCCGAGATTTACTTCGAGATTTTGGAAGGCGTTACATACGGCTTTGGGAACAAGATTGGATTATAGTACATCCTTTCATCCACAAACTGATGGTCAATCTGAGAGAGTAATTCAGATTCTGGAGGATATGTTGCGGGGTTGCGTAATCGATTTTCATGGTAGTTGGGAGAACTTTTTGCCGTTGGCTGAATTTGCTTACAATAACAGTTATCAGACCAGTATTCGTATGGCACCCTATGAAGCACTCTATGGGCGTAAATGTCGCACTCCGATCTGTTGGACTGAGTTGCGTGATAGGAAAACGTTGGGACCTGAGTTAGTGCGAGAGATGGAGGACACAGTCAGATTAATCCGTGACCGTCTGAAAGAGGCATTTGATAGGCAGAAATCTTATGCAGATCAAAGAAGGAAGGATATACAGTTTGAAGTGGGAGATCGGGTCTTTTTGAAAGTTTCACCCTGGAAGAAAGTATTGAGATTCGGGCGTAAGGGTAAATTAAGTCCAAGATTTATTGGACCATTTCGTATCTTGAAGAGGGTAGGACCTGTTGCATATCAGCTTGAGTTGCCTTCTGAGTTAAGTCGTATTCATGATGTTTTTCATGTATCAATGTTGAGGAGATACCGTCCAGATCCAGGTCACATTATTCAGGTTGAAGAAGTAGAGCTAAGACCTGATTTGTCATATGAGGAGGAGCCCATTCAGATTTTAGAAAGAGATGAAAGAGTTCTTCGGAATAGGCGAATTCCAATGGTCAAAGTTCAGTGGAGTAATCGAGGCCCCTCAGAAGCTACTTGGGAGACATTGGAGTCAATGGAGGCTCAGTTTCCTCAACTATTCTCATAAGGTAAATTTCGAGGACGAAATTTCTTGTAGAGGGGAGAATTGTAACAACCCGGAATAAAATTTAGAGAAAAAAAATTTTAATTAAGTAATTTGGCAAAATTTGAGGATTAAATCGAAAGTTTTCAAAATTGTAGGCCATTTTAGAAGTTAAAGGAAATTCAGGGATCAAGCCCTGCATTACTCCTTTTAGTATCGGCAGAAAATTTCATTTAAGCGTATGAATGGTTTTCTGTTTTCAAAACAGAAAACAATTGTGAAATTCCTCCTCCCGCACTCTACTTCAAAGCCGATTCCGACGCCGTCCGAATTCCGATCGTTGTTTTGAAACCACCGTTGTGTTCATCATCGAGCGAGGAACAAACCCTTCAAATTAATTGAAGCGAAACGCGGCCAAACGTCGGGAATTTCCAGTCAAAGTAGCGACGGTTTTGTTAGCTCTATCGCCGAGGAAATCTTAAATTCACCGCTGATCGTTGCTCCGTTTACGACACCTCCCGCACCATCGTGTTCCTTGTGCCGTTCCGAGTTCACCGGTGTCAACCTTGTCCGCCGTAGACGGCGGCGCGTGAGGAGGTGGTGCAGTCAAAGATTCGACCGATTTGAAATCGAGCTCTCCGCCGTTCAAAAATTTGAACCGATCGTTGTAAGTATCTTGAAATCGCTCAAAATAATTTTTAGAAATTTTTCCGGGATTTTTAGGGCCCCGGAGGACGCCTCACGCGCCACACGCGCCGCCGCAGGGCGAGTGGCTGCTGGAAACCGGTTTAACCGGTTTTCAACCGGTTCTGACCGGTTTGATCGGTTTCAACCGGTTCGAACCGGTTTGACCGGTCTGAATCGGTTTGACCGGTCTGACCCGACCCGACCGTTGACCCGACCCGACCCGACCGTTGACCCGACCCGACCCGACCGTTGACCGTTGACCGTTGACCATTGACTTTCTTTGACCAAAACTTAAAATGGCTTTAACCGAGCATTAAACGACCGTTAATCTTTTCCGAGTATACCTATCCTGATAGTTTTCGACGTACCGAATCCGTTTCCGTGGTCCATTTTGTCAAATTCGAATCCGAAGGTCTCCAAATCTACGGTCAAAGTGGTTGACTTTGACTTTGACCAAGAATTTGAATTTTCGAAAAGTCATACTTTATGTTTTTCGACGCCATGATTCCGATTCCGTAATCCGTTTGGCCAAATTCAGACTCAAAATACCTCAAATTGATAGTCAAACCCGAAAAATGCGTATATACTTAAGAAGTTTAGCTTTGAACAATTAAATAGGATTTGAGACTGATAAATATTATTGTTTGAAGGTACAAGAGACTCTCCGGATCGTTCGACAGCTCGACCCAGCTCTTATAGATCAGTTAAACCACGTGTGCCAGTATTTACCCGTTCGAAAACTGTAGCAGAGCGTGGTGAAACCAGCAATCAGTAGATTTGTTATTTGAATCTATTGTCGAGGTGTGTTCCCTACTTGTTATTGAACTGTTTTATTGGTTTTAATACGTGGTACACCGAATTCATTGGCTATTGTTTTATGGATGCACCAATTTAATGTGACAATTTATGGAATATGGCTGCTATCTAATTTTTGTTTTGAAATGGTATATGATTACCATGTTTTTGGATTTATGGAGTTTATGTCACGGTGCAATTGAATTTTGGAATTGAAATACGATGGAATAGCTCTGATCAAGCTAACTGGGCCTAATGTGACTCTTGAGGGCCCCAAGATGTTTCATTAGGTCGGCTTTCCTTTGCTGTGTGCTTAGGGTAAGCTATATGGACTTATTGACTTGGGCTTAAGGATACAAGCTTCGGAGCCTATCCTTAAGTCGGCTTTCTTTTTGCTATGTGCATAAATTAAGCTATATGGAAAATAATTTTGGGAACTACTGATGGTGTACCAGAAAATGGTTTAAACTATGATTTTCAAAAAGTTAAACTCTTTTACGAATTTGTGAGATTACTGGAATATGATTTGTACCTATTGTGATTTTATGGAAATGTTGGGACACACTGAGCCTAGCTCACCTTTTGAAAATGTTTTCCCCTTTCAGATACTGTTGGGTAGATACCTTGGTTCGAGCACTTGGAGGATCAACATATCTCTTGAAGTAAATCAGATTGTAATGTTTTTATCTGGCAAGTTTACTTTATTTTGGTGACATGGATCATATTTTAAAATATCGGATTTTATAATGATAACACTTTTGCTACTACTACTCGGTTTATTGTGATTTTGAATTTGAAGACATGTTTTAAATTAAATTATTATTTATTTGTACTATATTTACAAGTTGGATTTTGATAGTATAAATTGTTTATAATTTCATGTTTTTATAATGTGATTTTATATTGATGGAATAACGGTTGCGAAAAATGTCTTTAATAATTATAATGTGATCCACTAGACTTAGTCGAAACGCATAGGCCGGGTCTAGGGGTTACAATATAGCACTTAAACCAGTGTCTTCCAGTGAAATAAGGAACAGAAAACAACTAAAAGTTTGTGCAATTATGATTTATGCGTATACAAATGCTCTCTTTTAAGTGATGAAAAGAAAAAAGAAAAAATGCTCTCTTCGATTGAAACAACCCAACAGAGAGAAAAGAAAGAAATCAACCACCGAAACTATATGAGATCTTCAATGACTAACAAAAAGAAATATTGGTTTCCCCCATAAGTCACCTTCGAGTCCTTTGATCGGCAGCGTACTGGGACAAAGGAACGACTTCCGACAAAGGTGTAGAAAACGGAGTCGGAAGCGGGGAGTTCCGACAAACGGGCCAAGACCCATTAAGTTTCAACCAAGCATCAAGACAGGGAACATGGAAATAATGCCTACACTCGGGCATCATCCTCAACATCTCCGAATCTCTATACTCGCTCAAACAAATCGAACACACCGTGCTAACCTCGCCGGGATCCGCAGCGGACGGTTGATCTTTACTGAACTGGAACTTGGGGTAAGAATTTATAACAGCCTGGTCGAGCCCCACGACGGCGTTCCCGTCGTCCCCGTCTTCCGCGACGAAAATGATCCTGGGGAGAGAGTTTCCATCGGAGATGGAGGCGGTGGTGTTGGGAGTGGAGGAGCGGCAACAGATGTAGGAGGCGAGGAGGACGAAGAAACCAAGGGCGATGACGATGGAATAGCCGAGGCCTAAGTTTGTGAGATAATTAGGGGAAGGAGTGGACATTGAGGATCCATTTGGTGAAAGAAAAAGGCTATTTGGAGGAAGAAGAAGAAAGGTGGGTAGACGCTGCTGCATTTAATACTGGCATTCATTGCGGTGCTTTTGCTCTGCTTTGATTTTTCTGGCTTTCGGATATTTTGCATGAAGCTTGGAAATTGACATGGATTGCTGAATCGTCCAAACTCAGTTCAGAGCTCAAAATTTGATTGAGTCAATTAAACTGACTCGGCAGCTGGTGGTTGACATGTTCATCTTCTTATTCATTGCTTATGTACCCCATGACTACGACTTTATGAATTTTCATATTCCCTCGAGGATTGGGATTCAACACTTTGATATTTATTCATAAATAATTTATGTTTTATTTTTAAAATTGTTTTTTTAATGACAAAAGAGACAAGAGCCTAACTAATTCTTAGAGTGTACTACATAAGAGGTTCATGATTGGGTGTGTCTTAACTAAAGTGTCGATCTAATCAATAAAGCATAATGAAAAGTGTGCTTGGTTAGCTGCACAAACACTAACTTCTAATTTAAAATTATTCATAGAACGACATTATTTTCGGACTTATATAAGATAAAAGGCTAACATACGTATGTACGTACCAAATCCAAAAGGAGATCATCCAGATTCTTGAAAAAAAATGTAAATTTGCAGATAACTTTGTTCAATAATAAGACAATGTTAAAAAAAACATAATTTTTCACAAATACCGGGAAGAGGAAATAAAACACGATAGAAAGAATAATGAATCAAAACCAGTCTTTGAGAGTAGGAAGCTTGATCTCTCCTTGACGACTGACAGGGATGGTGATGTCTCCGAAGACGGGAAGATCAATGATGAGTTTAACGTTGAGTTCATAGTCGATATCCCAGTCCCTACAGATATCCTTGGCCAAGCTTATCAGTACGTTGTGCGGCACCTTCATCGGCACCTCCAGTATTGTCGTATCGTTCCCCTTCAACGACCCCGAATCCTCTATCTTTCCTCTTACAATCTCGCTGTTTCATAGTTGCATACCCTCAGTTTTACTTTTTTACGACATGTTTTCGAGTATAATATAGTAGTTTTATAAAACAAACCTGCCGTCACTTTTTAAATCGAACTGGATTTCACATATGGGGATGGAATGGCTATAGGGGTTGCTGACGGCCACCTTGGCGCCGTATTCGACGCCATCTCTACTCACACTGTTTATGTCGACGCCCTTAATGCTGGCTTCCGGCTTCCTCATCTCCGCCACCTTCCCCGACACGAAGTTCTTCACCATCTATACCATATTTTAGACACGTGTTAATATTTGAAGTCTTTCTCTCTCGGATGTCACTTTTTTAACAAATTAATTATATTGAATATTGATTTAATCAATCCTTAAAACGATGATCAAGGAAAAGCAAACCCAATAGGGAAAAGAATAGATGCTAACCTCCATGGATAGTCACTGGAATCACTTGCGAATTGAAAGGAAGATGATCAAATGCAGCTGAGAATGGGTAAATTAAAGACAACAATGCAGTTTTATCTTGGGTAAATTTTGTCATTGCTGTTGTTGTCACGGTTTCGAGGTTGAACCATACAATTTTTTTGTGCGGTTCCAACGGGAATTGGCATCAAGTTTCAACCAAACAAATTTCAAGATGTTTTTTTTTTTGCAACTTATTCCTACGGACGAACCAATTTATATATATTTTTTGTTGGAAAATATGATTAATAATTTAATTTAAAAAATGTAAAATTTTAATATATTATTTTTCGAGTAGCTCGTGAACTTTTCGAGTCAAATATCAAGTAGCTCATTTTGGCTCGTTAAAAATTCGAGTCGAGTTCGAGCTAGAGTCAAGTCCATTCAATTTGAGAGTTAACCGAACTTTGACCGAATCGATATCGAGTAGCTCTGTCTCGTCTCATTTACATCCCCAATCTTTGATATTCTTATGTTATTTATGTACGTACATATTTTATTGTTTTTTCATATTTAAAATATTATAATTGATATGCATGAATCAAGTTACCTCATAAGTTAAAAGGAATAATTATTATTTCTAGATGTCCTAGATTTGAACACCATAAATTACAGGATATTTAAACGCTTATTATCTAAAGATTGAGTTTTTAGAGCATATACTACTACTTGTAAGCATCCTAAAAAATTAAGCCGATAATCATCTTCTTAAAAAATTCAGCTTCTTCAGAAATATTCCTCGCATTTCCGGATATTGAACTTGTTGGTATCTATCACTTGACGCTTGAGGAAGAACCGCTGACAAAAAGAAAAGCACCAATTGAAAATGCATGTATGTTATCCTGATGAGATTGTAATTTGATTAAAAGGACTAGCAAAGAGAAGCATTATATCAGCACGGGAAGAAGAAAATAGAACCACTTCGCTTGAAATAACTCGTATGGTTCGGGCACATTCTCCTTCGGCTTTATAACCATATGCCCCATGGGAGCATTCCCAACGAAGTAAGTGTGAGAAAGGCCTCCAAGTACAGATTCCAAGGCAGACTTTGCACACTGCAAATATTATGTGCTTATATCACGTCAAGAAAACAAAAAAAGAAAACAACACTTACCTTGCGAATCGTAAACATTTTCTGGAAAATGCCACACAGGATTCCCACTAGGAGCTCCATTACTATCACCGTACAGAAGAAGATACAGTCTTCTATCAAGTGCTCTCTGCAATGACCTTGACAAATATAAAATTCAAGACTTCCCTAATCAGAATATTGTACTAAAAAATACCATAATACCACAAATGAACTGATTTCATATTTTATCCACACAAGCAACAACCCCCACCAAGAGGAAGAAAATATCTTCTTGAGGATGATGTTTATTGTCCTTCACATAACTCTTTCGTTAAAAGAAACGAATACAGGTTCTTTAACTAGTTGAGAAAAGCACTTTGAGATCCAATTCAGACCTTTTCTTCCAATAAATTGTTAATTACTGATGATATATATCTGATCTCTATCAAACGAAGGATAACGCATTGGTAACAGGTTCTTACTGAACGGAACAAAATGTACCACTTTATTTCCACCATTCATTTTGTCATCTTCCTAGAGATATCTAATTCAGATTTCAGGCCATTTATTCCTAAAGATTGTTAATGCTTGACAACATATATCAGATCTCTTTCAAGCAAAGAATGATCTCTCGGTGATAGTTCCAACGAGCAGTATGAAATGTTCCACTTACTTTCTGTCATTTGTTTTGTCAGCTTCAGTGATTCTTGGAGCTGGAACATAGTCAATTTGGTAGCACCTTTTCCCCTGGTTATTCAACAATTTCACTTCGTTAGCTGAAAAGAAAACCATCTTTGTTGCACTTTGCCTCTTTCTGAATCCGCAAATTGTACTTGTATGCCGGCACTCGTTGAAAGTGCAAAGCAAGGAGAAAACAAATAGCATATTTGATGTAACCCAATGAACAATGACTTTCTATTACTCTTGTATTCCATGAGAACTCCCATAACAGAGGATGTTGTTTTTCAACTGAAAAAACTAGGCCTAAATTGCTTCACATTGTCTTTCCCTGAATCAACTCTAAATCTCACGAGACAATTAATTTCGACAAATCAATTGCTTTCCTGTACTTTAGTTACTTGTTTCTGAATTGGGTGTAAGAAAAGGTTTATGCAGATGAATAAAATCAAAAACTCTTATCCAGTGACCAATTCAGCATGGATCAGAAAGGACCAAACATACAACGAAGCACCCCTACTACAATATGTAATAGGGAGGAATGAAATTTCAATAATCTATTCAAGTATACAAAAATATGATCATATCATCTCGAAAACACAATGGTCATTTCCAGTTCAAACATAAATACTAGGAGATTTAATGTTGTCTGAAAGCAAAAAAGTAAAGACTAGAAACCAGAAACTAATTCTTTTTCATCTACAAGACTCGTTAATAGAGTCCTAAAAAATTACACAATAAAAAGCATTGTTGGTTTAGATTCTACCAAAAAGTGTATATGACATATACAAGAATGAAAGGTGAAAAAGAAAAAAAGAGACATATCCGAGCAAGTTTTATATGCCACCGGCGGCACTGTTCGCAATCCAAGGAAGGCCAAAAGTAGCCGGAAGATCATCAGACCAACAATCTCCGGCGACCAATTCAGCAATTCCTTCTAAACCCTCGAAGAAATCATGGCTCACCGCCGTGTCAGACATCCCGAACTCATCTTCCCCTTCTTCTTCAACCAAATCCTCCCTGCTGTCCACCTTTGTACTCTGAAGTCTGAACCACAACCCCTTCATCCATGGAGGTCGCTGGAGACGAACTGTCCATGGGTTTACCCGAGGAAGGTTTGGTGGAGTCACCGGCGGCGACCGTTTGTGGAGTGAAAGGCTTCTGGTGGGTGCTGCCAGCGAGTGAATTCCGGTGCGTCGGAGCAGGGTGGTTGTGTTCACCCGTGTAAGTGACTATGAACGTATTCGGGTCGGATCTGTGTCGTTCAACTTGTTTCCGGGCCGAACAGCCCTTCGAGCTACTACATCTGTAATACCCCCTGTTATTCAACGAAAGCAAACAACAAAACCCATTAATTGAATATCCATACAAAAAAAGAAGAAGAAGAAGAAACAAATTTCATTATAAAATCAAATTATTCAGCATGCAAAGAGACAAAACCACATTGTTTACCTTGGATAAGGAGAGCCTTTGATGGGTTTTTGACCATATTTTCTCCATGCCCACACATCTGAAGATAAACCCTCTGCCGGAACTTGGCAAACCCTTTTAAGCTGATTCTTTCTATTCAAGGGGAAAACAACAAAAATTTTCAACTTTTGAGCTCCTCAATTGAAAATAATTTGTTTTAATGCCGAAATTTACCTTCTTTTAGACCGAGAATTATGAGAACTGGGAGTCCTACAAGTGCTACTGGGTGTTGTAGCAGGGCCAGACTGCTTGGGCTTGAGTTGATGTTCTTGCTGTTGTTTCATCTGTGAAGGAAGAGGCTGCGATTTGGGGAAGAAAGGCTTGTAAAGCTCATGCAATTCCTCCATATTATTTCCGGCTTCAAACTGAATCGGAAAAGACAATAACTGACCCTGAAAAGGCTCTTGACTAGCAAACGATGGAAAACTGGATTGGGAGTATAAATCCGCCATGATGGAGCAGTC